TTTATTTAGGCCTATCTATGGCCTTCAAAAAGTTGACGACTCTATATGTTATAGATAGGCCTAAATAAAATGTTTTTAACTGTGTACCAGTTTAACGTTGAATATTATTTATGATTTTAATTTTGTCACTGGTTTAAGTGGGAAACTAAGTAAAGTGAGTGAAACTGCTTTAAGAACTTAAAATACTCAGACAACCAATACAATTAAAAACTTTTATTCTTTGACCAATCAATGGACACACAGTGAGTTTCAGTGTCAAATGCTGTCATTCTCAGGAGTGTTTTGATGTCAATTGTGTCTCTTGTAAGGCTTTTGATTGGTCATAGAAAACTGATTTTAATTGTATTTACATATTCTGTAAGATCTTCCACATTAGGTAACCATCTATGTTACATAAAACAAATTATAGGTAGGTTTTATTAGAAACTTATATTTAGGGTTTCAGTACTTGAAACTTTGAAGACCTGGGTTTAAACTAAAAGAAGCTTTTCATGTTGTTCATAGAACTTTGGATGTGAGCATTATTTAAATATAGAAAAATAGTAATTGAATTATACATTGTTATGATAAATCATTGGTGTAAATGCTAATATTTGGGCTCTGCTTGTTGAAACAAGATTCTCCTTGCTGAACATCTCGTTTTTTTTTCAAGGAGCACAAAGTAAGAAACAGGAGAGAAGTAGAAGCAGGAGTGGTCAAAGCAGAACAAACAAGAAAGTCAAGGTACACACACGTGTTTCTGTAACCTTAATTGTACTGTCATGTAAAGAAATGTGTTTCTACTTTTCACATGCTAGTGATTGTATGGATGGAGTCTGTATTTTTCAGTGTAAACATTTTGTCAAATGATAATAGCAGAGATGAAATTACAGATAATCACAACAAATAGCTAATTCTGAGTTTTATGTCTTATGGAAAAAATAAGTGTTTTTTAAGCATCATTTAGGATGATTTAATTAAAAGTTTAATCAATTTGCATAACTAAAACAAGGATTATCATATTCTTAAATGTTATGATGTTTTAAATCTTTTATCAATAGGTTAACAGTGAAGGAGCTGAAGCAGAAATAAAACTTAGAAGAAGGGTATGTAGACAGTTGTTTTGTTCACTTTCTGATAAGATAGATTTAAGAATTTCTTGTTAATACTATTAAAAATACTTGTCGTGAAGTGATTCCCTGTCTTCTGAATTCCGCTACGGTACTTACCTCTTCTCACAAGATTAGCTATTCTCATTCAGTGCTGCCTTCTGTATGTGAACTTTTTCTTTACACATGCCACAAACCATATCGCTCCCCCCTATTGGAATTGCAAGATTCCAACATGGCTGTCATGCATCACCTCCTCACCAATAGGAGCATCACATGATGCATGTGACTCCCTTTACACTCCTCTATCGAACTATCACTTCTCATTTGACAGCACTTGTGTTTGGACGTGCTCTTTTGTTTATTTAGTGCTTCATGTTCAACTTTGTTTTCTCATGAAGTGGTTGTTTTTTAAATTAATTTACTTTCATTCAGCCTGTTTCTTCTATTAGTATTTATCAGTTAATTTAATCGCCTTATTTTCTGCCTTTGAATTTGGTGAATCTTTCTGTGCAATGAATTTCAAAGGTAACATTACCACTTTTGGAGTTACACCAGCAGCAGCATTTTTTCTCAGGCCTCGGGTGTGGGCGAACCGATGGTGAATTTGTTTCTGGACATCACCTAGCCTCCTCCAGAACAGGCTGGTCCTGTGCAGGCTGAAGAAGACTTTAATTGTCTTTTTCCACCTCCAGATGTTTGCCGTTCCTTCCCATTCCCAACCCAATGAGTCTACTAGGCCTAATGCAGTCTTTGTGGATTTTGTGCTTCAGGGTTGTGACGTTTTATCCCTTTCCCCTATTTCTTATGCACCTCGTCCTTCCTTACTGCATGAACAATCTTTTTGGTTTTTCCTCTCGCACCTGATATTCAGCTTCGTGCTGATCACTTTGCCTCACAATTAAACGAGGGGATAAGCATGCCATGCCCCCTGTGGACTTCAGATCAGTTTACACTTTCCTACCATCATGCTGACTTATCCATTTCTATGCTAGCAGTTGTTAGGTTCCTTATTGATTATTTGGGGAGGGGGACTCCCGATTCATCTGTCAGTCTCACCCATGCCCAATATTCTCACTTGCGTCTCACCCTTACACATCTATTATGATATCTTTCTTTCATACACCTATCTGAGGCTCTCTACAGAAATACTAAGGGGTTTTCTGGAGATACCCTTGCCCTTCTGTCCTCCACTTCAACCCGCATTTCGTCTTTGGCTCTGGCTTTACATATGTGGTTTCTTTTTTGTTGGGACCTGATAGGTCGTGATGTTGTATTGGCTCTGGTCCATTTTACCTCAACATATCTTAGGGATTTATGTATGGCCACATTTCTGAGGTGTTACATTTTTGATACGGTCCCAGAAACTTTAGAACCTCGGTTGACATTGGTCCCACAACAATCCACCCTTAAGAATATTGTAGCTCGTTTGTCTCAGTCAGAACCTCATATGCCTCCAATTACTGTTTCCTGTCCTACCCTTTCCCAGCCCTTATCTCTCCCTTTTACTCGGGGTACTTCTTCTCGTCACACCCCCAAAACCCCCACCCACCCCGTCGCCTCCAGTACCAGTGACTACCCAGTTGGAGCTTGGCTTTTTGAGTTTCTTCATCACTGAAATTCCTTCATCAGCGATCAATGGGTGCTACAGGTTCTGTCAGAAGTATTCGTTGTCCAGTTTCTTTCCCCACCTTCCGTCTCTCCTTACTCCATTTCCTTCCCTCCTCCTCAAAGTCTGGTGACCAGCCAGCAAGGATTGGTGGCCGGTAATCGATTTATCTCGCCTCAGTCGCTTCGTTTCACTATTCTGGTTCATCATTGAGTCTTTTGTCATGCTGAGGTGAGTGTTTTATCCAGAGTTGTGGATGATCAAAATGGATGTTTCCAAAGCTTTCCTACATATACCGATATCACCTCAGTCTTGTCCTTATCTTCGGTTTGCCCATCTCAGGGTGGCTTATCAATTTTAGGCCCTCCCCCTTCGGACTTGTCTTGGCACCTTACATATTTTTCTGAGTAGTGTGAGCTTTTGCTTGACATCTCCATGCTCTGGGGCTGCAATTTCATTATTACATGGGTGACTGGCTTCTTCTGGTTCATTCCAAGCAGGAATCGGCCAATCATACTCAGCAGCTTTTTTTCTGTGGTGGCTCGGGTGGGCTGGTTGATCAAACTGGGTACGTTTCATGTACCCTTTATTACCCTACCTATCTTCTCTTTTATCCAGATCATTCTTTTCTCCCAAAGACCTCAGCAGCTCAGGAAGGTGGTTTCTCCTTTTCTCATATTTTCCTTTCTTTCATTTCCCATCTTTACCAACTGGATCCGGATAGGCTTCTGTGCCCGTGTCAGGGCTCTTCATTGTTATATTGCCCGTACTGCTTTCTTCTGGGGTACATGTACCTGACTCTTTATCCCCTGGCAATCCTCCTCCATTCGTGATCTTTCACCTTCTACCTTTACCAATTAGGTCCATCTTTTGGTTCAGTTGGCCTACTCCACCCTATCTTCTTACTCCCAGAATTTGTTCCAGATGCCCTCCCATCAGATCCAACACCTCACTTTTTCTTTTGCTTATCGTCACCCAATGGAGGTGATTCTGCAGTCCGGCATGTGGACCACACCCAGTATGTTCATCTCCCACTATCTCCATCATATTGCAGTTTCCTCTTTGTCAGGGTTTAGTATGCTACCTGTGGCCGTTCTTCAGACAACTTTGGTGCGACTCTCTATTTCATTATTCCATGGATCCCACTCTGTGGTGAGTGATGCTTGACCAAGTATTCTTTAACTTGAAATTTGCACTGTCCAGCCATGTTGACTTGCGCTTTATCTTCCATGGCTTTGCACACTTACCATTGAGATAGGGTGTTCCACAAGATCACTTGTAGGTGTATGACCTCATGATATTTTTCTTCATAAACATGCCTGTCCTGGATCATACCACCCATGGACTGCATGGGTAAAGCAGAAGGGGATTGCTGCCCATCCCTGCCATGTCTGGAGTGAATAACAGGTGATGATGTTCCTCTGAACTCTCCACTGCATTGCCACCCTCCTTTCTTCAAGTGGAGTATGGGAGTCCTTACCACTTTCCAGTTCCAAACTACTAGGGTGGTTGACCATGGAGGCACCATGCTGAATGAATTCCACACAATATCCATTCAGTTACAGAGTAGGGCAGCAATGTTCTGCAGGTATATCCTCTTATTTGTGATAACCAATGACAACAGAGTGAGACGTCAGTTCACCCCTTCAATTGGGAGCCCTCATCCTACCCTTTCATGGATGTCGGTACCCCATGGGCAGATTTTGGATTTAGAGTGAAATGATTAACAAAAGTCTTCATACAGGTTTCAGGTTGTCCGTCTTCCTCCCTATATTTCTTCCATCTGTGTTGTGGATCACAGTGGTTGTACATAGGATTGTTCTGGTTCTGTCCTTGGCTATTCGGCTGTCTCACATTCTCTCTCTTCTTATGAGGATGTTATTGCCATTTGGATGGTCCTGGCCTGTTTCGCAGGAGAGTTGATTGCATGCGATAGACATCCTTTCAATACCAGATATCAAGTTTCAGGATCGATAGCTCGGAGCTAATCCTCGTGTCATACTCGGGAATCAGAGTGGTTCGCAATCCCTCAGTTCTTGGGTTTGAGGTGAAGATGGTAGGATCCTTATCCTACCCTCGTGTGGATGTTGGTACCTCGTGGGGAGGTTTTGTATGTAGTTGACTTACCATGTACAGTTTGCTGCACCCTTGCCACTCTACACCTTTGGATGCATCCTTTGTTTACCCACCTTTCTCATTTCTATGGTTAGGATCACTTTCCTCCCACATACTCTCCCACTTGGATGTGCTCCTCTCATTTTCCACCCTTATATCTTATACATTCCACAGTTTGACTAAGAGTATACCTGGCTCAGAAGTGATGCAGTTCCCCTCTTCGTATCTGAATCTCATTTTCTGGGGTATCCTTCGGATGCTTTTGGGAAGGGTACTTCTGTC